GGGAGCAGCAGGGGGAGCGGGAGGAGGGGGGTGTTGACGATGGTTTCAAATGAACTCGGGCGTGTGGAGCACTTGCTGGGAGCCCTGTGCTCCGCTGGTTGCTCCCCTTGGGCTTTCTCAGGCCGCGGGGCTCATAGTGTCCCCGGCCTTCTTTCTCGGTGAGGAGACCAGGGCATGGGGAGGTTCTGCAGCTCGCCCAAGGTCAGTAGGCCGCCAAGTGCAGGTTCAGGGTTAGAATCCGGGGGGTCTGGCTCCAGAGCCCCCGCTTCACCTTTGGACCGTCGCTCTGTGTCCGTGTGGCCCCCATGAGGCCTCATCACCAGCACAGTGGCCTCCAGCTTGTCACCGGCCACCTCCCTTCGAACGTCCTGGTTCCGATGGGAAACATTCATGGGAATCCATTTGAAACTCAGAAGTTGTTCGGGGAGCGTGGGAGCCACGCGCAGAGCTTCCTGCTGCGGCGTCGAGCCAGGGCCCGCGCCCTGTGAGGGAGCCCGTCCTTCTCCACGGTCCGCCAGGGGCACACGGATGGCCCCTCCTCCCTGACGCCCATCCTGTGTGTTCCCCAGGGGCGGTGGCCTCTGTGTTCACGGACTCCTCAGACGTGCTAATTCAGCCCTCGGGCGGGGGCGCCATGAATGCGGATCAGTCAGGCTCATTGCTACAAGCCGTAGAGCTTGGCCCCCGCAGGCAGGCAGGGATGCAGACCCAGTGTGACCTTGGGTGACCTTGGTGGGGTACCTTTCCTCATTTATGAAATGCAGGTGGTCACTTTCCCCCACTCGCAGGGCGGTTGTGAGACTTGAACAACCCGCCCTTCCCTGTGCAGTCTGTGCTGAAGCGCCTCGTGACAGCGACGACAGTCACGTAGCTCTGAGCCCTGAAGACTGTCTTCCGTGGTGTCCCCTGCGGGTGTCTGAGTCCTGGGATTAGCTCCCTGGAGCGGCTGTTTGGGTGCGACCCTCCGATCCCCCACAGCGCCCTGAGCCCAGCCCCGTGGGGGTGACAGAGGGTGTCGCCGTGTCTTTCAGTCCCCGACGTCGTCGACGGGAGCACGTTCACGGCCGCCGTGGTGGGCTTGAACCCCTGGGTCGAATATGAATTCCGCACAGTGGCGGCCAACGCCATTGGGATCGGGGAGCCCAGCCTGCCCTCTGAGAAGCGGAGGACAGAGGAGGCCCGTGAGTAGCCCCTGGCGCAGATGGTCCCGTAGGGCTCTGACTTCTCCCAGCCTCTGTGAGACACCCACCCCCGGGTTAGAATGACCAGAAAGCAGGCCCAGCCCGGCCGCCGTGGCTCAGCGGTTGAGCGTCGACCTAGGACCCAGGAGATCAGGGTTCGATTCCCAGTCAGGGCACATGCCTGAGTTGCGGGCTGGATCCCCGGTCGGGGGCGGGCAGGAGGCAGCCCATCAATGACCCTCATCATTGATGTTTCTATCTCTCTCTCCCTTCCTCTCTCTGAAATCAATAAAGACATATTTAAAAAAAAAGAAAGAAAGAAAGAAAGGCCCAGGGCGTGGGACACTCAGCAGTGAGTTTCAGCCACAGCTCAGTCCCCGCTCTTCACCACGCCCTGTGCAGGGGACACGCGCTGTGCTGGGGTCTCTCCAGCCCGAGCTCTCCCTTCGTCCGTCCATTTGTCACCACAACCCTCCTGCCCGGAGTCTTTCATTCACGTGAGATAATATAGCTAATCCCCAACCCCCATGCCTTTCCCCCTTCGCACTGAGTTGATTCCTCTCAGCAGTCCCGAGGAGGGAGCCAGCGTAATTTCCGCTTTTACAGAGAAAGGTGGGGATCACAGAGGTTAAGCACAGCGCCCGGGGCAGCCTCTGCCTGCCACCTCCCTCAACTCCCAGCTCACGCTCACCTTCCCCGGGAGCCGCTCCCCCGCCCCCCGGAGCAGCCCCCTCCGCGGGCACCAGGCACGCTCCCTTCCGTCCGTCCGGGCTGTCCCCGTAGACCTCGAGCTGTGCCTGTCGTGTGTGTACCACCCCGAGGTTAACAAATGCCTCCCCGAGCCTTAGCACCAGACCTCAGTTCTTTCCTCACCCCACGGGACCCCGGCCTCCGGGGATGGGGCGCAGCCAGAGGTCAGCTGTGTCAGATACCCCTGTACCTGTTGAGGGGAAACAGGCAGCTTGTCCCATTTCCGTGGCGCGTTTCGCTTCCTCCAGGTGATGCTTCGGGCCCCTTGACCACAGTTTCTGATCTCAAAAGACAGGGGTGTGTGCACCGCACAGTGTTTGTTGGCAGTGAGTCACCTCGGCCAGGCACCTCCCGGGCCCTCGCTTGCCTTTGCCCCCTGGCGTGACCTGTGTTTTGTCTCCCACACAGTCCCCGAGGTCACCCCGGCCAACGTCAGTGGTGGTGGAGGCAGCAAGTCCGAGCTGGTCATAACCTGGGAGGTAAGTGAATCAGCACAGGAACAGGCATTAGTCGGGCCGTTGAATGTTTTTCTCTTTGGAAACATCGCCTGGGAAGGTCCCACCCGGTTCTCACAGCTGAAGCCCGTTTGCGTGCAAACCCCCCTCGTAGCTCACGGCCCCAGGACGAGACGAGACGGCGCTTGCCCTTCAGTTGTTGAGTGAGGTTTTAATTCGATTCATCCAGGGAAAAAGTCATGACAACACAGGCAAAACGCGTGCATGTTAAATAAGCCCGGTTCTCGGAAACCGTTTTCCCTCCTTCCCGGCTGCCGCCTGGCCTGTGGACAAACCGCCAGCAGGACACCCGGTCAGTGTGGACGAGCCATTTCCCCGGGGTCAGCCTTGCCGCTGGAGCCTCCTTTACAGGGCATCTTTTTCCTTTTCTTAATCTTCACCGAGGGTGTGTTTTAGAGA